TATCCCCCAAATGACCCCTTTTTGCAGAGTAGACAGTCCGATGTACTTCATAAGAGGCATGGCGAGTTTTTTGAAGTTGTATTTTTTTGTCATAATTTTTCAGAAAATTAAAAAATTAAAAAAATTAGTTTCACTATTTTTTTTTTTACATATTGTCACCAGTGCAGTACAGCGTCATCATATAACTGGCATGGTGGTGATCAGGGACACTGACTGGTGATAGTGTGAAAAAAATATATATATATATTTATTTTTTTTTATTTTATTTTTTTCACATTTCACTATGACCAAAGTAGTACAATGTTACCATAGTAAACATTGTACTACTTTAGGGAAGTGATCAGTATTTTTTTTTACTTTGCTATAAGCAAGCATTTACCTGAATGACTGATTCATTCAGGGTTTTTTTTTTTTTTTTTCTTTTGTGCTTAGCTGTGATTTGGCCACAGCTAATCACATGACATGTGCATGTGATTAGCTGTGACCACTCACAGCTAGACACTAGTAAACAATGGATGGCATGAATGAAGCCATCCATTGTATACAACTGTCATGTGACCTGCTGTGATTGGTCACAGCAGGTCACATGGTACCAGCAACGGGGGCCGATACTCAGATCTGTCATCGGCCGTGTCCGAGGTACACGGCCGGTGACAGATCGCGCCGCTGCGAGGCTCTGCAGGAGTGCGATCTGCGCATGTGCGGGAGGATGCCATATGGCGTCCACCCGGAACGCTGATGACATTTGCCGGCCGCCATTCGGCCATAGGGCGGGCGGCAAATGGTTAAAATAGGTTTTAAAAATCCAGCAGGGATGGTGAAGGCCTCTCATAATGGCCGTCAGGTGTACAGAGGTGGGAACGCAGTGCAGAGATTTCACTAAGCCTGGCTTCAAACTTTTACGTGGCCATAATGCAACCAATGCACTAACACAACGCACGTGATTTGCAGCGTGCCACAATGCCCAGTAATGCATCATATGTTGCCATTGGGTCAATTCACAAAACAAGCGTGGCTTCATTTCAGATGCAATTTAATACAAAATGAATCAACTGCCCCAACACAATGCGTTAACTTGTGATGTGATGCGCATTAACGTGCATTTCTGAATACGTAGATGTGAATCTGGCCCAATGGAGTCCCCATGAAACAAAAGAAACACGTTGGAGGATAATCACGATAAGTTTCTCAGTTTGGCAACAGGGGCGGACTGACAACTCATGGGGTCCCCGGGCAATAGGGGATCATGGGGCCCCTGTGTCCTTGCCCAAACTCAAAAAAGCCTATGAAAAAGGTACCAGGGGCATCTGATGGGGCCCCCCTACTGACCCCGGGCCCTCGGGCAGTGCCCGAGTTTTCAAATGGTCAGTCCGCCCCTGTTTGGCAACCTTGGGTGGACTATCATCCGGTTTCTTGTTTTACCACAAAGCTCACTAATCTTTGATGAGTTGGGATTTGCCTCTTCAATCCCCCTATGTGGGGGTCGTGTCTCCCGGCTCCCTCCCCCCCCCCAGGCAAACTTCTTTTCTTTACTGGTCTGTCTCTTTCTTCTCTCTCTTAATTTCCTCTTTTTTTTTGTTTTTTTCTGTCTTTTCTATTCTGGATTGAGGGGGTGTGGGGTTCTTGACCTCTTGGTCCTCTTTGGATCTTCTTGACTTTTTTTTCTCTCTCTTTCCTCTTACATGGTTTGTATACATTAGACCAGCCTTTCTCAACCAGGGTGCCCAGGCAAAATGTCTACAAATTGCCCAAAACTTGTATACAAGCCAGCGGGTGGAACAAGCACGCCTTTTAGTTACACAAAGCTGCAGGTTTTCATTGTGCACCATTACGCCCTTCTAGCCGCCAGCGTCCTGACAACCAATGAGGTCATCAGTTGATAAGGAGGATGTCAGCTGCCTGCACAGCAACCTAGTTTGATCATCCCCTGCCCCTCTCCATCAGTGCTGGGGTCACATTAGCTCAGTGATGGAGAAAGGAAACATTGGAATACTAGTCAGTACCAGTGTGAAAAAGTGTATTTGCTTTGGAAGAATAAATCCCCTCTAATGTTGGGTGTCCTACATGTGTGGATGTTGCTGTGTTACATAAAACTATTTGAATACTTTTTCACATTTTAGAATGGGGTGCCTCAAGACTGTCCAAAATTTTAAAGGGTGCCTCAAGACTGTCCAAAATTTTAAAGGGTGCCTTAGGACTGTCCAAAATTTTAAAGGGTGCCTCAGGACTGTCCAAAATTTGAAAGGGTGCCTCAGGACTGTCCAAAATTTTAAATGATGCCTTAGGACTGTCCAAAATTTTAAAGGATGCCTCAGGACTGTCCATAATTTTAAAGGGTGCCTTAGGACTGTCCAAAATTTTTAAAGGGTGCCTTAGGACTGTCCAAAATTTTAAAGGGTGCCTTAGGACTGTCAAAAATTTTAAAGGGTGCCTCAGGACTGTCCATAATTTTAAAGGGTGCCTCGGGACTTTCCATAATTTGAAAGGGTTCCTCGGGACTGTCCATAATTTTAAAGGATGCCTCAGGACTGTCCATAATTTTAAAGGGTGCCTCGGGACTTTCCATAATTTGAAAGGGTTCCTCGGGACTGTCCATAATTTTAAAGGATGCCTCAGGACTGTCCATAATTTTAAAGGGTGCCTTGACTGAAAAAAGGCTGTGAAACACTGCATTAGACCAATTGTATATCATTTGTTATTATCTGACAATTCTGTGATGCTCAGGGCGAGGCTCTCTTTGTGTTTTTATTTTTGCTACCTTTGTTGAATGTAGCTTTTATATTTCAAAATGTGATTGTGGGCTTCATAGCCCGCTGTTCTACACAGTATTATTTGGACCCCGTTGTGGGTCTCATATGTGTATTCCGATGCAGGGGCGGACTGACCATTTAGAAACTCGAGCACTGCCCGAGGGCCCGGGGTCAGTAGGAGGCCCCATGAGATGCCCCTGGTACCTTTTTCATAGGCTTTCTTGAGTTTGTGCAAGGACACAGGGGCCCCATGATCCCCTATTGCCCGGGGCCCCATGAGTTGTCAGTCCGCCTCTGTTCTGGTGTTTTTGTCTGATGTTTCCCTGTCCTCTATTGTCTGATGTCGCTTTGTATCATACGATTTATTATGGTTTGTATGTTTATTTTACCATGTTTAATAAAACCTTTGGTACAAAAGAAACAGGTGTTTTAAAGTGATTGTAAACCTCAGATATGAAATATGAACAAAGAATATCCCTCTATAGTGTGTGCTTGTCTCAATCCAGAGCACTAAGTGTAAGTTCTGTCTGCTGCCCCGTTCCTCTGCAATCTGCATAAGTTGCTTCTTACAAGTTTTCCTGACACCAAGTGAAAAATGGTGACAGAGGGCTCATTTTCTGTGTGCTGTGTGGAGGAGGTGTGTGTGGGCGGGGGGAGGGGTTCCTTCCCTCCAATCAGCTTTCAGAGGTCTTCTCACTGAGCTCTGCAGTGTGTACTTTCAGCTCTCTGCCCCATTTTTTTCTGACAGCTCAGACAAGCAAATTATTCATGTTCCGCTCTCTATCCTAAAATAAACAATAAACCCCTGTTTACCCTTGTATAGCCTGTTGGGTAACACCATCTAAATAAACATTAAAAATACGTGTTTCCTTTTAATTAGTTAGAAGTTATTTTTAAAAACGGTTCGCTAAATGCTAATTGAATTATTATTCTGTCAAAACAGCTAGAAAACGCATGTTCGGGAGGTAAAAAAATAAACCTTCTTTGAAGACAGTAAAAGCACATTTGAAGAATTAGTGAATTAGCATAACTGAGCTATTAATAAAACATTATTATGATGCATTGCGAAAGGTCGGAGTCATTCTTCGCATATATATGAGGTAACAGAGCAAGAAATACAAATCAAAGCAGTTCAAACCCCCATTTTTCTACAGATGAACGGCTCACTTCCCTCCCTAGCAAGCCATTGTTGTTTTTCACAATTGAAGTATAACTAAAGGCAAACTTAATTTTTTTAAATTTCGATCGAGTGGCAAAAGGGTTAGAACCCTTGAAGGGTTGACTTGGGATCTAAAGGGAATATGAACATTGGGCTGCTGGCTTCTGCACACCGAAGGATTTCCATAATCACCTTGGGTTGTGATGGTAATAGAACTGAAATTGAAGAGGAACACCATAATATTAAAAAAATAAATGGTATACAAAACTCAACGTGTTTCGGGGGCTCAGCTCCACTCCCTTCATCAGGGCTTGAAAAAGCAAAGAAACAAAGTAAGTGGACTTTTTACAAAGTGGGGAATGTGTGGAGCCAGCTGCTAATTATTGTTGTGCCAAACCACCCACTGTCTAGAACAGGGGTCTCCAAACGTTCTAAACAAAGGGCCAGTTTACTGTCCTTCAGACTTTACGGGGGTTGGACTGTGGCCATTGGGAGTCAAAAGGGTCCCAATCTCAATGGGAAAAAAATGCCCCATGTTTGGTATCAGTGGAAAGAACAGTGCCCTATCATTTGTGTCATTGGAAGCAGTTGTACCCCTTCATTGGTGTCGGGTGAGGAGTGGGGGATAATGGCCCATTGTTGGTATTTTGAAAGAAATTATTCCCCGTCATTGGTGTCAGCGGGGGGAATAATGGCCCATCGTTGGTATCAGTGGATGAAATAGTACTCCAAGGGCTGGCTTATAGCAAGCAAAAGGCCGCATCTGGCCCCAGGACACAGTTTGGAGACAACTGGTCTATAAATACCCACTATTTTTTAAACCTGAATACTATGTTTCTTTAACTACTTGCCAACCGCAGATAGCCGAATGACGGCTACACTGCGGCCGGCCAGTTCTGGGAGGGCGTCATATGACGTCCTCCCCGAACTCGCTTTTCCTGCGTGCCCCCCGGGGGGCGCGCACCTGGCGATCTCTTTGATCGCTGTGTCCTACGGACACAGCTGATCACGTGATGTGGTAAAAGGCCAATCACAGCGGCCTTTTACCACGTGATCAGCCGTGTCCAATGACATGCTGATCATCGGGAAATGCAATTGCCGGTTCTCGGCTGCACTTTCCTCACGCTGTCAGATCGTGAGGAAAGTACTGCCGAAAACCGCCAGTTGTCAGAGCGGGGATCGGCACCGATCATCAGGGTGCTGATGATCAGTGCCCTGATGATCGGTGCCCAGCCACACACCAATTCCGCCCACCTGTGCCCAGCAGTGCGCCCACCTGTGCCCATCAGTGCACCCTCCTGTGTCCAGCAGTGCACCCACCTGTGCCACCCAGCAGTGCCACCTACCTGTGCTCAGAAGTGCCACCTACCTGTGCCTAGCAGTGCCACCCACCTGTGTCCAACTACCTGTGCCCACCAGTGCCATCCACCTGTGCCCACCAATGCCACCCACTAGTGCCCATCAGTGCAGCCCAGCAGTGCTACCAGTCAGTGCCACCAGTCAGTGCCCAGTGGTTGTGCCAGTCAGTGCCCAGTAGTTGCGCCAGTCAATGCCTAGCAGTGCCGCCAGTCAGTGCCCAGCATTGATGCCAGTCAGTGCCACCTATCAGTGCTGTCTATCAGTGCCACCTATCAGTGCCGCCTATCCGTGACACCTCATTAGTGCCGCCTATCCGTGCCACCTTATTAGTGCTGCCTATCAGTGCTGCCTATCAGTGCCCATCAGTTTCGTCTATTAGTGCCCATCAGTGCTGCCTCATCAACGCACATCAGTGAAGGAGAAAATTACCTGTTTGAAAAATTTTATAATAGAAACAAAGAAACTTTTTTTTTCAAATTTTTTGCACTTTTTTCGTTTATAGCGCAAAAAGTAAAGTGCCCAGCAGCGATTAAATACCACGAAAAGAAAGCTCTATTTGTGAGAAAAAAATGATAAAAATTTCATATGGGTACAATCTTGCACGACCGCGCAATTGTCAATCAAAGTGCGACAGCACTGAAAGCTGAAAATTGGCCTGGTAAAGAAGGGGGTATAAGTGCCCGGTAGGCAAGGGGTTAAACCCTTGATAAAGGGAGCGGAACTTAGCCTCCGAAATGCGTTAGAGTGGAATACAATTTATTTCTGGAAAAAATTTTGAACCTTAATATTATGGCTCTTCAAATTTAGATCTTTCCATTCCCATCACAATCCAATTTCTGTTTGGAATAAACCTATTTGACTTTTACGGTGAGGTACTTTAACTTTAGGTTCTTATTCTATTCTGTGCAGGGGCGGACTGACAACTCATGGGGCCCCCGGGCAATAGGGGATCATGGGGCCCCTGTGTCCTTGCCCAAACTCAAAAAGGCCTATGAAAAAGGTACCAGGGGCATCTCATGGGGCCCCCTACTGACCCCGGGCCCTCGGTCAGTGCCTGAGTTTCCAAATGGTCAGTCCACCCCTGATTCTGTGTCCCCATTAGGGAGATTCACTCTATCCAATTGTCCTGATCACTATCAGGAATGAAAGTGAGGGTAGATCCAACATTTTGAGTTGCCAATACAATAGGAATAAAGGGGAAATCTTCCATTTGGGACATTTTTTCCAGAGGTAACTAAGAGGGGATTTCCCTTCTATTGGAAAGATCTCTTTTCACTTCTTGTTTAGTCTACAGGGCAGGAAGTGACAGTGGGATTAACGCTCCCATATTTGATTCAAAATGTTAAGCCTTTAGATCTACTTTAATATCAAAGATGGCCGGATCTGTTACCGTCTGATTGCACAATCTCCTTAAAGTGTATCTAAACTCAAGAACAAATATGTAATATGGTGCGCCTTTCTAGTACTTTGAATGTGGTGGCTGCATTAGTATTTTTTCCCAGGCTTTTTTTCCTTTACTTTTAACCCCTTCCTGCCACTTCCCAGCCCTTTAATTGGATCTAAATACTGGGAGGCGGAGACAGGCATTCCGATCATGTGACCGCTGTACTTGGCAGTCACAGTGGTTGCATAATTGGAAAGCTCCCGATCGCAAGTATGCATCGAGAAATTTCCAGTACCCATTTGTTACTGTGCTGGGAGCCTGAAGGGGGTGTTCTCTCAGCACAGTAAAGTGTTTACCTAGGGCCACCTATATGTGCCAGGTTGGCAAAAGTGGTTAAGGAGACCTGTCATCAGACCATTTGTTCAACAACAATCTTCCCATAGGATTATATGTGCATTAAACATATTTTATGCATGGAATTTACCTATAAAAGCCTCCCTTATGTAGTCATCCAAAGGCCCTGAGACTGCTGCTGGGTGCCGCCATCTTGGATGGGGCACTCTGTAGCATTCCCCTTCTATAATCCCCCAGCAGCTAAATAAAAGATTATATAGGGAGGTGCATGGAAGTTGTTTGCTTGTGGTTTGAGTTGGGAATTGTTTTACTCTACGTCAGTGGTCTCCAAACTATATACCTGTGATTGCATTTAACTGACTGTGTGGTCGGGGGGTGTTTCAAGATAGCGGTCTGAGCAGATGCACATCCTGGCACATGGAAGAGACTGCTGCTGGGTGCCGCCATCTTGGATGTGACACTCTGAACCATTCCCCTTCTATAATTCCCCAGCAGCTACATAAAGGATTATATAGGGAGGTGCATGAAAGTTGTTTGCTTGTGGTTTGAGTTGGGAATTGTTTTACTCTACGTCAGTGGTCTCCAAACTATATACCTGTGATTGCATCCAACTGACTCTTTGGCCGAGGGGGGGGGGGGGGGGGGTGCGACTGTACAAGATAGCGGTCTGAGCAGATGCACATCCTAATGCATGAAATTTACCTATAAAAGCCTCCCTTATGTAGTCATCCAAAGGCCGTGAGACTGCTGTCGGGTGCCGCCATCTTGGATGTGACACTCTATAGCATTCCCCTTCTATAATCCCCCAGCAGCTAAATAAAAGATTATATAGGGAGGTGCATGGAAGTTGTTTGCTTGTGGTTTGAGTTGGGAATTGTTTTACTCTACGTCAGTGGTCTCCAAACTATATACCTGTGATTGCATTTAACTGACTGACTGACTGTTTGGCCGGGGGGTGTTTCAAGATAGTGGTCTGAGCATATGCACATCCTAGCACATGGAAGAGACTGCTGCTGGGTGCCGCCATCTTGGATGTGGCACTCTGTAGCATTCCCCTTCTATAATTCCCCAGCAGCTACATAAAAGATGATACAGGAAGGTGCATGGAAGTTGTTGGCTTGTGGTTTGAGTTGGGACTTGTTTTACTCTAGGTCAGTGGTCTCCAAACTGTATACCTGTGATTGCATTTAACTAACTTTTTGGCCGGGGGGGGGTTTATCCAAGATAGCGGTCTGAGCAGATGCACATTCTAGTGCATGGAATTTACCTATAAAAGCCTCCCTTATGTAGTCATCCAAAGGCCGTGAGACTGCTGCTGGGTGCCGCCATCTTGGATGGGACACTCTGTAGCATTCCCCTTCTATAATTCCCCAGCAGCTACATAAAAGATTATATAGGGAAGTGAGGGAAGGGGTGAAGAAGTTGGGGGAGCGCTTGTCAATTTTTCTAGCAAGTTCAAATTGCAATTGAAAAATTGCAAATAAATAAAATATAATTTATGGAAATAAAAAAACACTGTAAGTAAGCATTTAAAGTATTTCATTTTTTTTCAGCTTTACCTGTAATTTTTGAAGTTGGTGACAGGGTCTCTTTAAACTTTGTCTTTATTCATCTCCCTCCTGTACCATGGTTACATAATAAAATCTTTAATATAAAATCCTGTAAATAACTAGCAATGCCAATAATGTGCTTCTTTAGTCGTGTTATTGTGGCTCGTTTTCTTTCCAAATGTTCCAGAGATGAAACCGCACTAGATGTAATGCAACATTTGATTTCTCCCCACAAGCCCGGGATCCGGTTATTGCTCCCAGCGCCCGACCACAAGACTATAACTTCATTAGCAACTGATGGCTGCCGCTTTTAATGTGCGGCGGAGGAATGCCAGGCTGTAACTGGGAATGTAGCATTTTAATTACCTCCCTGACAGCTCAAATTAATGGTTATTTGGGGGAGTCAATTTGGAAGCCTCAATGCTGATTAGAAAATACAGACGTTAGGCTCGGTACACAAAGCACCTGTCAAGTTAAAGGTATGCTTCCAAGGACAGAATCTGCCATTGAAAAGGACACCAGGTTGAATAAAATGTTTTGTGAGTGGCTCAGCTCTGAGCTCAAAGAGGACCTGTAGGCAACAAAATCTACCCCCCCCCCCTTCATTTCCTCCAATACATATACACAGGGATTTTTTTCATATAGAATAGGTGCAGGAACTCCCCGCTTCTGAGTCATCCCCACCTCCGAGCACTGTTCCTTGATTCTCCCCTACCCACCTCCCAGTACTGCTCCTGTTAGAGAATACAGAACCAAGTATCATTTTTTGTTGCTAAGTAATTTGTATGGAATTGGTTAATTATAAATAAATCCTCTGCATCCAGTAGCATAAGACCCCCCCAGCAACAATAGATCACCCCAGCAACAAAGGACCCTTGCAACAAAATACAGCCCCAGCAACAATAGACCCCCAACAGCAACAACAGATCCACCAGCAGCCAGCATCAATTGATTCTCCAGCAGCCAGCATCAATAGAGTCTCCAGCAGCCAGCATCAATAGAGTCTCCAGCAGCCAGCATCAATAGATTCTCCAGCAGCCAGCATCAATAGACTCTCCAGCAGCCAGCATCAATAGAGTCTCCAGCAGCCAGCATCAATAGAGTCTCCAGCAGCCAGCATCAATAGAGTCTCCAGCAGCCAGCATCAATAGACTCTCCATCAGCCAGCATCAATAGACTCTCCAGCAGCCAGCATCAATAGACTCTCCAGCAGCCAGCATCAATAGACTCTCCAGCAGCCAGCATCAATAGACTCTCCAGCAGCCAGCATCAATAGACTCTCCAGCAGCCAGCATCAATAGACACTCCAGCAGCCAGCATCAATAGACTCTCCAGCAGCCAGCATCAATAGACTCTCCAGCAGCCAGCATCAATAGACTCTCCAGCAGCCAGCATCAATAGACTCTCCAGCAGCCAGCATCAATAGACACTCCAGCAGCCAGCATCAATAGACTCTCCAGCAGCCAGCATCAATAGACTCTCCAGCAGCCAGCATCAATAGACTCTCCAGCAGCCAGCATCAATAGACTCTCCAGCAGCCAGCATCAATAGACTCTCCAGCAGCCAGCATCAATAGACTCTCCAGCAGCCAGCATCAATAAACTCTCCAGTAGCCAGCATCAATAGACTCTCCAGCAGCCAGCATCAGTAGACTCTCCAGCAGCCAGCATCAGTAGACACTCCAGCAGCCAGCATCAATAGACTCTCCAGCAGCCAGCATCAATAGACTCTCCAGCAGCCAGCATCAATAGACTCTCCAGCAGCCAGCATCAATAGACACCTCCTTCAACAGTAGATCCCTTCCAGCAACAATA